AAAAACAAGTGTATAGTTATGATGGTCCCTGGGTAAGATGTTCTGTTGTAAAGGGGGGGGGGGGATTTATTTATTTAATAGTATAGTGAACATGCATTTCTTTGAAAATCTTCTATGCTTCTGGGCATATTCGAGGCAAACAGAGTAAAATTTGTGATATGGAAGGGTATTTTTACCAGAATTTTGAACACCTGGATTATTTAGTCAAGTGTTCTGGTCCTGGCCAGGACTCTATGAACTTGTATTCTGCTGAGCAAAGTTATTCCCTTTGCCATTCATCTTTGATAATTTATCACTGTAAATAATGTATTTGAAAGGTTAATAGAATAAGAGAATCATGCAAGAATATTAATTGTATAATACAAAAAGTACTTTCATAGTTTTAATGATCAGGTAGACTTGGAAATGATAGATGAATAAAAGTGAGGCAAAAATAACTTATCTTTTTTTAAGTTCTTTTTAGGCCAAGAGAGACCAATGTGAGAAGTAGTAATTTGGGATTAAACTTTTGTTAATTGTCTGCATGGTAATAGTGATAAATGGGGAACAGATAGATTCTGTACCAATTATTTTGTTGATGCTTATCATACTTTTTTTCTTGCTTTTAGGCAACAAAGCTTCATTTATCAGTTTATGGATCCTCTAAATTGTTGTATTGTACTCAGGTGACCGTTAAGGCCTCTTGTTTCTATTTTACAATGTATTAATTTACGTACATGTTTATTTGCAAAAGATATTGTCTGTGGGCGACCACAAAATCCCTCTGGTTCATACGTGCTTAATTCTAATGTATTTTAAAGACTATCAAAAAAATAAGAAATGTAGATTTAGAAATCGTCACTTAAAAATATGAATTAAATTAAGAGAATAACTCGTTGTTTATCCAAACCCACAAGTATTTTAAATTCTATGATATTCTAAAGTCTTATTTCATATACAATATTCTTTACACCCCTCATCAAGAAGAATTGTTATATTAAGAAAAATTATTGAATTGACACAGGTAAAAGAATTCTTCTTATCATTTACTAATGATCTCTACTTTGCAACAAAAACTTAAACACTTTAAAATAGCTAAGATTGCGAAGTTTTTGAAATATTTCATTACTGTTACTAATGCAGTCATAGACATATTTCTGAACAAAAGTGGTTGCTATGACAACAATAAGATAATCATTTAAATACTGTAACAAAGGAATTTTCTAGCTGCCCTTAGGATAGTTTCCTTTTATGTTTTTATTTATATCAATTAGGATGATTAACTCAATGACCATTTATAAATTTATTTGTGTGCATGTTATGCATTGAAGCTATTTTGAACGTCACTGACTTAGTAAAGATCTTTAGTTTATGCTTTAATTTTCTCCCTAAATTGACTTCCTCGAACAAAATTGACATCCACAGTATATAATCAGAAAAATATAATTTACCGAGATGGGGCCGATTTTTGCCCTTGGAAGCCCTACCTCTTTGAAGGTTTCACTGACTATACACGATAAGGGTAAAGTAACAACTAAACTTTATGACAAAAGAGATGATTTAAGCTTTTCATCTTCAATTTTCCTTATTTATGCAGTTATATTCCGCTATCACCTGTTTATGGTGTTTATGTCTCTAAACTGATTCGATTGAAGGATTTATTGTATATTGTTTTACGTCGCATTCGAATATTTTTTACTCATATAGAGGTGGTACCAAAATATCGGTGAAGGGCTCTAAATTTAGACCTATACTCGACTCTAAGGGCCATTGAGCATTGGGGGTTCTTTATCGTGCGAACGCTTACCGTGACACGGTACCTCGTTTTTTAAGGTCTCATCCGATAGACCAGGTGCTTTTACGTCTAATGCCTCACCCTTGGAGAAGGAACAATCACTGTCTATGTCTTCTTCTTAGGTTTGTCGCGGTTCAGCGAACGAGAATCGAACCGGGACCTCCCGATCACGAAGAGAACACCCTACCACTAGGCTACCGTGACTGGTCCCAAATGGATTCAATACTCGACATGCTCCGAAAAGTTCAATTTGTAAACCGAGGCAGGCTGCTACTGACAGATAAGCCGATCTTACAGGGATTTAAACAGCCTCAATCATTGTCGGCAATTCATAAATTCTGTGGTCGTTATTATGAATTTATTAGCAGATATAAAACATTAATTTTTAGCCTTTGTTTTTATGGTTAAATTACTGAAGACTATTCTGTCTACCTTATCAATGATGGGCTGGTTGACCGGCTGACAGGAGGTGCTTATTCCTACTAGGCACCTGATCCCAACTTTGGATTTACTGGGGTCGGTATTTTGTGCCCTGTTCATATACTGTATTGTTCGTAGTTTTTAGGACCGATCACTGTTCGTTATCTTTACCTTTTCCATATGCATAAAAACTGCAGTTTATTTTTGATGGATCTTACCGGAGAAAAAAATATCTCTGATCTTATTACACATGTATTTTTGTAGCTACTTAATCACCATATACGGAGTTTTCTTTCACACCAGTGGTTATTTTTTATTATTCTCATCAGTAGAAATAATGAACATCATGTTCAGTAGGGCTATATATTTACCCAACGGTTAAAATCGTTATTCAAATCGTATTCACTCTAGATCATGATCGAGAAGGACAACTGTATCTAATTGCAACCAGAGCATAAATCGTGATTGTATATGAACATGCCCGGGAACCTGGATCCTGCATATGATTGATTGGCATGAAATATGACGATAATAAACAGTATTAAGCTCAAAATTCCATTAGCTCTAAACATATTTTGAGCAGGGAAAACGAAGACCTCCAAAACATTATAAAGAATGCTATACATGTAGTATTTTACAATTTAACCCCTCCAAGAAAATAAAATACTGTTAAAATTGAACAGGGTCGATTCTTTTAGTACATTGCATTGTATCTCGAAACCATGAGTGATTTTATTTTCCTTGCATAAACCGCTATACACTGTATACTTTGTGTAATAATTCAGTTATGATAGTAGAATGATTAGTGCAGGAAATGTAACAGTGGTTGCTGTATTATGTATATTTAAGCAATGTCCTCAACTTCCCCGATTGGTAAGTAGATCTGCTTATATTGCAAATCGACATTTTCTCACTTTAACGAATATGATCAAAGGATGTTTTGATTTAAGTGGATCTTAAGTTCCTGAATAAATCTAATTAGTCTCAGCATGGTTATATGCAATGGAAAATAATGTAATGTGTATATTTTATTGAGGAATCGCTGCCTAGGCCGTTATGCATAAATTACCCTAAAACTTTGAAAATAAGCCGCGGCTTATTTTAAGTTTTGGTAAGAAAGTTGGTGCTTATTTTCAAAACTCTCTTATTTTCAAATCGCGGCTTTTTATCAAAAAACAAAAACAAAAAACAAAACAAAACAAAAAACAAAAAAAAAAAAAACAAAAAACAAAAACAAAAAAAAAACAAAAAAAAAAAAAACAAAAAAAAAAAAACCGGTAAGTGCCGAGAACATTCTCACGGCTTATTATCAAAACAATATATAAATTGTAATCGATCGATTGTGAACTACCACATTTGGCGGTGTATAATACGCACGGCTACCATTCGTACATATTGTAGTATTACCAACAGACATAGCCAATTTCTTGTTATATACGGCTTTGTAAATTATTGTAAGAACGTAAACTTGTAAAAATGTTAATGTCAATGGCATACCTAACAAACTAAGCAATGATTTATAATATTTACATTAATATGTGTTTCTGACCTTTGGATGAGGCCGTGTAAACCGAGGTCCCGTGTCTCAGTAAGTGCTGGCACGAAAAAGATCCCTCGCTGCTCAATGGCCCTGAGTGCCGGGTATAGGTCAAAATTTGCAGCTCTCCACCGGCAAGTGGTGGCGTCCCCATATGAGTGAAAAATTCTAGAGAGGGACATTAAACAATAAACAAACAAAACATTAATATGTGAAATAAGAATGTAAATATGACCCAAAAATGCTGTTTAATAGAATTGAATGCACAAAACATTGCATGTTAATTTTCATAGTCCCCGCCACTGACATCAGACACAATGACGGTCCGGGAAAAGCATTATATGCACTATACCTTTCTTTTAGCGAAATTAACATTTCTCGTATGTATTGAGAAATTGACACACTTAACTTTCAATTAGTTATCAAAAATAAGTTCGAAAGGTAAAAATTCAGTGAAACAATTCAGATTGGGAAGGCTATTTGATTTAAATGATATGCTATTTAACCAACAAATCTAAAACCTGTTAAAATGGAACGAAAAATGTTTTAGTGGTGGGGGGGGAGGGGGGGGGGGTGGCAGGATTCCTTAATGAACTCATTAATTAGTATAGGTTAATGACAAAGCAAGCTGATGTTCAACATTTGTCTTAGACCTAAAGAAATTTTATTTTGTTTTTAAATGCTATTTTCAGTTATCGAAATTAAAGAGCTTTCATTTTCTTAATTTAGTTCAAGCTGAAGCACAGGAAGAAGGGAGTAATAATGCAGCTATAATCGGAGGGACTCTGCCAGCCGTCTTAATTGCAGTATTAGTTGGTGTTATCATATCAGTATTCTATAGGTTAATGTTAAATCCAAATGTATTTCAAAGATTCTGTTGTACTGAAAATTAAATATTTCATATTTCTTAACTGACCAATACAAAATCGAAGAAATATCGTCGATATCTGTCAGTTGCAATAAAAGAGGTCAATTTCTTAAAGAATGATTAATTTTATAGACGGCATAGAAACAAAGGTGATAAAGCTGGTACTCTGAAAACTATCAAACATTTTGGATTTAAAGGATGGACAGAAAATAGAAATGGAAGTAATCGGAAAGGTAATCTCTGAACTAGTTTCTTGGAAGTTCACAGTTTAACATCATTTAAAAAAATGTAAGTGTTTATGATTTTTTTAGCTAAACAAGTCTTGTGAATTCGTGAATTCCCTGACTCAATCATGGCGACATTTACGTTTTTAACATGCAAACGGATCTGTTAAACTTCAGAAAATGAAACAGAAGTATTTGATGGAGTATGTAATCCTGTGACAAATCAATCAGATGACGATGGATATTACAATACTGTCCAATTTAACACGAATATTAGCATAGGGGATCTACAAAACGTAATAAATGAAAAGAGTTTAGGAGGAAATAACCAATTTCATCAAGAATACAAGGTACAAATCTTAGCTAAATACAATGAAGACTAAAATCCTACCTGGTAATTTTTGCTGCCTAACAATGCTTAACTAATTTAAGAAATCAAGTTCATCATATGAATCTGCTATTGCTAAGCATCTGTCTACTATGTTACATTATCAATGATATGCCATTCAAAGAAACAGTGTAGAATAGTAAGAAACGAAGATCAATTTACATATTCGAGTTGTATAGAAAGTGAAAACTATTTCTCAACCAATGTTACTCCTGAAATTTGGGAATGTTTCTCTTTAAAAAGAAGTAAACGCCGGTAAAAAAGAATACTAGTGTGGAATTTGGGATATCTCATTATGTATGTTCCTTTTCTGTTATACTGCCAAGACAAGTTTGTAATAAGTTACGTTGAAGATATAAATCTAAAAAAATCGATGGATGATCGATGCTGCATTCATTTGAAATAAATTTCAGTTTAATTTATGATTTATTTTCAATATCAATAGAAACTTCCTACTGCCAATCTGAACATTTGTGAAAGTGCAAGGAAGACAGAAAACGCTGTAAAGAACCGCTTTAAAACCACATTTCCCTGTAAGATCATATATCTTATTTTGAATTTGATTATCCATCATTGAATTCTAGATTTTTTTTTTATTAAAAACGGACATATATGGCATGGTTATCTATGCTAAATGATGTACGAAAAACACAGATTTAGTCAATAATTTTTTAGTCATTTATCAAGGATAGTGAAATGAAGAATTTATATTTCAGATGAACATTCTAGGATCATCCTCAAGGAAAGATGGAATGAATCAGACAATGATTACATCAATGCCAACTTTATTACGGTATAATAAGACTGATTATTAAATGAATGTTCACACATTAATTTTCTATATCGGTATTATAAAACTGATCATTGTAATAAATGTCTGGACAATCAGTATTTCTTAAACGAACACTTTATTAAAATTTTATAAGGCTGATCATTGTACTAAATGTCTAGACAGGCAATGTTTACACCAATGCCAACCAATGCCAACTTTATTTGTTCCCCAGTTTTTGAACATAGTGTTTTGATTCTGTTTCTTTTAATAAGTATTCCTTTTTATACTTTTCCCTCCGGTACTTTTTTGTCCGAAGGTGTTCTCATAGAATCACTTATCCGATTGAGATGATTTTTTTACGGTTATATTTTGTAGATTTAATCGGCTGAAAATTTGAATGCCTAAAGCTTTTCTTACTCACAAAACAGGACAATTTTGAATGTAGATATGTATAATGTGTCCTTATATAATGCTGCTATAAAAACTGAATGTAAAGATATGTATGCACCTGTGAATTCAGATTGGACAATGCTTAAATATACTTCAATCATGATATCTTTCTTTTCTGTAATAAAAAATATTTGCTATTTAACACTAAAGAATGTAAATGAGACAATATCAGAACATAAATTTGAAAAAAAAAAATCTAGAAAACATGTGGTAGTTCAAACGCTGAAATGTTGATAACCTATTACCCGTGAGGCAAAATTGGAGTAGTTTCCACTACTGTAATGTTTTCCCCCTTAGATTCCAAAAAATCCCCTGTCGTTTCCCTGTCTGTCCCTGACATTTTCCTGTCTCCCCCTGAATTTCTCCTATGATCCCCTGTCGTTGTCCCTGACTACCCTGTCTACTCCCTGATGTCCACTGACTTTGCCCCTGTTACCACTGTCTAACCCCTGATGTCCCCTGTCGTTGTCCCTGACTACCCTGTCTACTCCCTGATGTCCCCTGACTAAGCCCCTGACCACCCTGTCAATTCCCTGTCGTCCCCTGACATCCATTTTGACCCAAAAAAGGTTTAAAATATTTTTTTCTTGCTATTTACTTGTGAGAAATACGTTACTCTTGTCAATTCTTAAGTTTTGTGAAAATATATATTTAGTCAATTGTTATTTGTTTGAATATCTTGAGTAATTTATTTCTTAATACGATTGTATTTCATTGTTTTAGTTTACTACATGTAGCTTTTAGATAAATTTTAAGGAGAATACATGTCAGTTACTTTGAAAAGAATGAATTACAAATTTATTGCGTCTTGTCATGAATGGCAAGTAAATATCTATATTTATTTATATGTTCATCTATATATCCACATGTATTTATTTATTTATTTCATTTTTTGACAAATTTATTAATTAAATCTATTCATATATTTCTTTTTAGATATATTTTCCCTATTGAATTATTAATTAATTGATTAATAATATATATTTATTTAGTTTTTAATTCATTTTATTCTAATTAATCAATTAACTCTATTTTATTCAATTTATTTGTGAGTTTCGCATAAACAGTCGTAAGGTAAAACAAAATATGCTTCAAAGTATCTTTTAAGCATATTTACATTTCTTTTAATTCTTTTAATTTCATGATGGGTATCAAAATAATTGTATTATTACACACAATCTGAATTCGGAATTTGTTTTATTGCTTCTTTGACTTTGGTAAAAAAAAAAATGTTCCTCAACTGTCACGGTTGTGAGAGTAGTTCCTAGCTGTTGATAGTTGACCAGTGACTCTGGATACACAGGCCAGACACCTATTGTTCTTTTGACTGACCACTATACACTGTTTATTCTGTGGCAGCACGACCGTTTCCACTCTGCAGGTGTTATTTATTTCACAACCGTGACCAGTTTTTGAGGAAATTTTTATTTTACCAAAGTAAAAGGGAACAATAAAACAAATTCCATATTCAGATTGTGCGTAATGAGACGTTGATTTTAATACCCATCATGAAATTAAAAGAATTAAAAGTAATTTGAATATGCTTAAAAAATAGTTTGAAGCAAATTAGTTTTACCCGGAGACTGATTATGAATAACTACACAAATTGTATTAAATAAAAATTAACCAATAAATTGAAATAAAGGAAATAAATAAAATAAAATTTAAAAAATTAAATAAATTAAATTATTTATTAAAAATCAAATGAAACAAATACGTAAAAATAAATTTGATAGATAAAATTAATAAATGAATGAAAAAATAAATAGGTAAATAAATGGACAAAGAAATAAATAAAAAAGATACATCAATAAATTAAATTCAATTAAATTAATAAATTTACTAAAGATACTTCAAACAAATAAGTACTTACAAAATCAATATTTTTATTTATTGTTTTACTTATTTATTTGTATATTTTTCTATTTATTTATTTGTTATCTATCTGTTTATTTATTTATTTAATCTATTCATTTCTTTTCTTTTAGATATTTGTTTTATTCAATAATTAATTAATTAATTAATGTTATTTCTTTCTTTCTTTATTTTGTTAATTTATTTTATTCTAATTAATTAATTTTTTCAATTCCTATTTATTTGAGTAGTTCCCCGTAAACAGTCATTTGGAAAAACAAACGGTGCTTCAAACTGTTTTTAGGTATATTTACATTTCTTTTAATTCTTTTAATTTCATGATGGGTATCAAAATAATCGTCTTATTACACACAATCTGAATTCGGAATTTGTTTTATTGCTTCTTTGACTTTGTTACAAAAAATAGAAAAGTTCCTCAAAAACTGTACGGTTGTGAAAGTAATTCTGAGCTGTTGATCATTGACCAGTGACTCTGGGTACATAGACCAGACACCTATTGTTCTTTTGACTGACCACTATACACTGTTTATTCTGTGGCAGCACAACCGTATCCACTAAGCAGGTGTTATTTATTTCACAACCGTGACCAGTTTTTGAGGAAATTTTTATTTTACCAAAGTAAAAAGAAACAATAAAACAAATTCCAGATTCAGATTGTGTGTAATGAGACGATGATTTTGATACCCATCATGAAATTAAAAGAATTATAAGTAATTTGAATATGCTTAAAAATAGTTTGAAGCTAATTAGATTTACCCGGGGACTGTTTATGAATAACTACACAAATTGTTTTAAATAAAATTAATTAATAAATTAAAATAAAGGAAATAAATAAAATAAAATAAATAAAAAATATAAATAAATCTATTTATTTATTAAAACTTAAATAAAACAAATACGTAAAAATAAATTTGATAGATAAAATTAATAAATAAATGAAAAAATAAATAGATAAATAAACGGACAAAGAAACAAATAAAAAAGATACATCAATAAATTAAATTCAATTAAATTAATAAATTTACTAAAGATGCTTCAAACAAATAAGTAGTTACAAAATCAATATTTTTATTTATTGTTTTACTTATTTATTTGTATATTTTTCTATTTATTTATTTTCTATCTATCTGTTTATTTATTTATTTAATATATTCATTTCTTTTCTTTTGAATATTTGTTTTATTCAATTATTCATTGATTAATGTTATTTCTTTCTTTATTTATTTTGTAATTCATTTTATTTTAATTAATTAATTTTTTTCAATTCCTATTCATTTGTGTAGTTCCCCATAGACAGTTTTATGGAAAAACAAACCATTCTTCAAACTAATTTTAGGCATATTCACATTTCTTTTTAATTCTTTTAATTTCATGATGGGTATCAAAATAATCGTCTTATTACACACAATCTGAATTCGGAATTTGTTTTATTGCTTCTTTGACTTTCTTACAAAAATAGAAATGTTCCTCAAAAACTGTATGGTTGTGAAAGTAATTCTGAGCTGTTGATCATTGACCAGTGACTCTGGGTACACAGGCTAGGCACCTATTGTTCTTTTGACTGACCACTATACACTGTTTATTCTGTGGCAGCACGGCCGTATCCACTCTGCAGGTGTTATTTCTTCACAACCGTGACCAGTTTTTGAGGAAATTTTTATTTTACCAAAGTAAAAAGAAACAATAAAACAAATTCCATATTCAGATTGTGTGTAATGAGACGATGATTTTGATACCCATCATGAAATTAAAAGAATTAAAAGTAATTTGAATATGCTTAAAAAATAGTTTGAAGCAAATTTGTTTTACCCGGACACTGTATATGAAGAACTACACAAAATGAATTAAATTTAATTAATCAATAAATTAAAATAATTGAATTGAATAAAATAAAATAAATAAATAAAAATTTTAAATAAATCCATTTGTTTATTGATAATTAAATAAAACAAATAAGCAAAAATAAATTAAATAGATAGATTGAATAAAATAAATAAATATATAAATGAAAAAAAAGAATAGATAAATAAGCAGACAAATTAATAAATAAACAGATACATGAATTAATAAAATCAATTAACAAATAAATAAATGAATAAACAGATAAATAAATAAATAAAAATATATTTACATGCCATTCGTGGTACACAAGACGCAATAAATTAGTATTTTTTTTAAGTAGCGACATTTATCCTTATTAAGATTTATCTGAAAAGCTAGTAACAATCAATGAAATAATATTTTGAAAGAATTTGCTAAAGATATTTCAAACAGAAAAACTAATGATTAAATCTACATTTTCACAAAACTTGAAAATTGCTAGGAGTAAGGTATCGATTTTCTCACAAGTAAATAGCAACAAAAACATATTTTAACCCTTTTTCCTGGTCAAAATGAATGTCAGGGGACGACAGGGGGTCGGCAGGATGGTCAGGGACTTAGTCAGGGGACATCAGGGAGTTGACAGGGACGTCAGGGAATGTCAGGGGACATCAGGGGTTAGACAGTGGTAACAGGGGCAAAGTCAGGGGACCTCAGGGAGTAGACAGGGTAGTCAGGGACAACGACAGGGGATCATAGGAGAAAGTCAGGGGGAGACAGGAAAATGTCAGGGACAGACAGGGGAACGTCAGGGGATTTTTTGGAATCTAAGGGGAAAATCATTACAGTAGTGTTCCCAATTAAATACTTTAGAAAATAAAGTGAAGATCTCTATAATACAAAAGTATTGCCTATTCAAATATGGTGTGAAGGGAATGGACCACAATAATGTAGAGGAGGAGCCGTTTTGGGAACATCTGTAATGGTTCCGTTACAATTAGCACTAGTTACAATGTAAGACTGATCATTGTATTGAATATATGTGAAGATTCTTCAATGATTACATCAACGCCATTTTTAGTACGGTATATTGAGACTGATTTTTGTAAATAATGCCAAATGACATTTTTTTCAATCACAAACAAGAGCAATGCGATGAAAATTATTTTGATATATATTGTAGGATTGCATTGGAGAGAATCGCTATATTGCAGCTCAAGGTATACAGCATTTACCATTGCAGTATGTAGTACCCAACGTCACTAAAACCGAGCGCATTCCATTCAAACAATCCTCATCCAAAAACGTTAAAATAAGTTATATTTCAAAGCAACAAATAATCTAATTTTAATTGATAATGAAGGGAAAAAGAAAGGCAGGGTAATATAAAATTCGATATTTTATTATAAAGTGTTGTTGTGCGGTTTGTTGTGATTTTGTTTTTCATTAAAAACGTCTAATCCTTCGTTAGAGCGGAACTTCCGACCAATGTGACGAGAGCGTCGGTGCCTAACGAGGCCACACCCATATGGGACCAATCATCCTACCAACTGCATAATCGCAAATTCACTACGACTAAAACCGCTTTTAATACAGTAGACAATCATAATTGTGTCAATCAACAACCCGGAGGAAAATGATTGCGCGAGTTTGATCTATTTAGACCATCTTTATCAAAAACGTTAAAATAAGTTCAAAATACATCAAATAATGTAATTTTCATACAAACAAGATCGAAAAAGAAAGGCAGGTTAAAATAAAATTCGATTATCATTTTACCACTAAGCCGAAAACTAAAAAAAAGATGACAGAAGAGTATCTTAAATAATGGGTATCTAAATCGGTGTTGAACATTACTCAACCATGAAATGTATGCCGTCACATATTGAAAATGGTAAAAAATAGGGATGTCAACGAATATTCGAACATTCGAATATTCATTCGATGAGTTGATATTCGAATATAAATTTAAGATTCGAATATTCGGTGTTTTTCAGATTTCATAAAAAGAAGCACTGTGATTAATAAATTTTGATTAAATGAAAACCTTCTTGGAATGCCTAAAAGACGTTAAGAGTATACTTTTCAAAATATAATCAATTGATCATTGAATGAGTGTCTGATAGAATTCGTCAGTAATTACATGTAATATCGTAAAGGGCTTAATTTCAGAAGAAAATTGTAAATTACTTGATTATCTCGGATTGTACATAATTCTGAATTTTATATTCATTATCGGTAAATTAATTAATTGCCTAGGAAAATTGTCCATGGAAATATTTTTGTTTATATCTTAAAAATATTCTTTCAAAGATTATAATCATATCTCTTATTAGACTGATAATTGTAATTAATTACACGTATTGAAATCTAAACAGTATACGACAATCCTGCCTTTGGTAAGAAGACTAGTTCCTCATTTGGAGCTACTATAAATTTATTAAATTATTAAATTTGTTAAAATCAAATTTTTCTACATTTAAATCAATTATTTATTTCAAACATTGACAAATATCAAATGGAATTCCTTAAACACAATTTTACTTCCAGTATAAAAATACCTCCGCTAAACCTTTCATGAAAGTAGGATGATGCATATTTAAAATACACCAGATTTATTTATTTTATCGAATATTCGAATATATTCGAATACTTTCATCGAATATTCGAATATGAATTATTGACAAAATTGACATCCCTAGTAAAAAAACAAAAAGCAACAACAACAACAAATAAAATAAAGGATGACAGGTTTCTCAACACATATTTAATACGACTTGGTAATCTGGATACATCAATTTTCGCTATTTACAGTCAATTTGAATTTCTTGCAAACATGATGCGACTGAAGGCGGTAGTTCAATACTGTTTGGCTATGGCATCCTGTACTGTATTTTCTTCTTACAAGAATTATTTATCTCTGGAGTATTTTTCTTTTGTTTAATTTTTTGTTAAAAAATATTGCTATTTTAAGCAGTCACGGGATGACCGTCGTGGAGGTGTACTTCTTGTCATTATAAGCTCTAATGTGTATATACAATAGTTCATAATAGAAAAAAATAACCTTAAATAACATCAAAAGTTTACCCTGCGTATCTTTTCCCCCTCATTTTTTATTTGTGAATTTATTTTACATGTACGTGGTATTAAATCACAATTCTTTTCTTTAACAAACTCTTAAAACAAATATTAGCTTATCTGTTCTTTCTTCGTATTTTTTTTTTAATTATCATGGTACTTTCCTTTTCTAAAGATTTAACATAAAAATTAGAAGGCGCGTTTACTTTGGAAAACGGCTGGCAGTGTAAAACTAGATATTTGTTATGCTGATCAATGCAATTCTTTTTTCATAGTCAAAAATACATTTTACCTGTGTCAGCAACGTTGATCTTACTTAAATATGTTGACAGGCCCAAAAGGAAACACATTGAAAGATTTTTGGAGAATGATTTGGCAAGAAGATATTAAAGATATTGTCATGTTGGCAAACATAATAGAAAATGGAAAGGTGAGTAAAACATAATTCACAACATTGAAAGATAGTGTAGAAATGCATTTCTGTTGATTATTTGTGTTTGTTTTGTTTTGTTTTGTTTCGTTTTGTTTTGTTTTGTTTTGAAATCTATATCTAACAATTTATTTTTTGTCCTCTTTAGAACAAATGCACACAGTATTGGCCAGAAAAGGATAAAGCAATGCAGATTGGTCCCTGTAATATATCTCTAATAGAGGAAACAATTTACGCATTCCAAACATTGCGAAAATTCTCCTTAGAACGGGCACATGTATGCATTTTCATGAGATCAAATGTATCAGATTCATTTATTTTTAAGTTAATGCGCCTCAACTTTAAAAAGGTATATTATCAACACCTATGATAATTTAAAATTCAATATATCATGCTCAATATGTTTGATCCTTGTTAAACTATGTTAATAGTATTATCCCTATATACAAAGCCCCCCAGCAAGAGAATCATCACCCAGTTCCATTACACTGCCTGGCCAGACCACGGTACACCAGAGGAAGTTGGACTTGTTCAGTTCCACAGATTTGTATCCAAGAGAATACATACGAATGTTCCATTACTAGTGCACTGCAGGTTTGTCAAATTTTCAAGCAGAAATCTGATTCATATGAAGCTTTTCCCACACGATGGTTTGTATGTCATGTTACTCTAGGAGATCATTCTGTGCTTTTGCTTAATCATGTAATTAGCATTATTTTTATATGTGATATAGAACAACAGTTAAATATCACAATTTTATCTGGTATGAAAAACATTCACCCAAGCACCTTTCTAGTTGAGATCTTTGTCTAATAGAAAACTTTATCAATTTCGTAGAAAACATACATCAAAATATCCATGAGCAATTATTTTTTGTGAGTGAATATTAGCTATCCTACTTAATGCCCTGTCTTTTGATGAGAAAAAGTTTATATAATCGGCTTCAGTTACTCAAGAAAGACTGGACAAATAGAAGTGCAAAAAATTAACATTTAGTGTTAAACCAAATTTCATGTATTTAAATAACAAATTGTATTGTTTCTGATTTTCAGTTTGTTATGGTATATTTCTTATAGACATCATTAACTTATCTCTGCAGTTTTGTATCACCTAAAAATATATCCTTACAACAATAGAACTCAAATTGAAGCAACTTGGCATAGAAATCATTCATTGTTGAATTATAGTTTCTTGGATGAATGAAGTCCTCAGTTATATCTCAGCATACTTTAGTATACATTAGTTAATACAAAGGATGGTCATTGTACTATGTCCTTTTTTGAATTCATGGTCAGTTATTTAAATCGAAGTTGCACACACGTATCATTATTGTTTATCTTCGAAGTAAAAATAATGTTAAAAAAATACATTTAGTTGTTTAGGGTTCATGCAGGAGAACTGCAAATATTTTTTTTAACTTAAAAAAAAATAGCAAACTGAAAACAAAATTTCTCTTTGTACGTTGTAAAATGATGTTTGTATGAAAGCCATAGCTACACTATTTCGTGCATTCTATCAAAATGTAATCGTTCTGCAATTTTAACAACACCCTTAGCAGAGAATTACGAACTCGGTTAATTGCCGTTAAAACAACATGTATTCATCCTTACTTTTATGTTGTTTCAAAATACTGGTACAGTGTATAAATCTTTATTTTTATGTTGTCGTAAAATGCATGTATTTTCCTTACTTCAGCGCTGGCGTGGGTCGTACAGGAACATTTATTGGACTTGATTCACTCCTGAAACAGGGAAGAGACACTGGACGGATCAACGTTTTCGAGTTTGTCAAACAAATGAGAGAGAGTAGAATGACAATGGTTCAAACTCCGGTAAGACAATGCTGATATTAAATACTAGACTCAATTAAATAATGAAGGTTATATATATCCCATCGTGGCAGTTGAAAAATATATCACTCTGTCCGATCCAACTAACCTTCATTGTTTAAACATTTATTTATAGAAATATTCATTTTTTTCATATTCACTCAGCAAAGAGAATGAAATTATATATATTTTTTGGCATTCATGTTGTGCGCATAAAACATGAAAAATACATTTTATTTTTTGGGCGAAAATTCTGTTCTGACATGAATTATGTCAGCAATTTTTTTTAATTTATTGAATGAGGTAAAGATAATGAACAGTGATCAAACTCAAATATCCAGTGAAGAAAACAAATCGTAAATAGAACTAAAACACGGAACCGTTTGATATGACAGTTTTGCTGCATGTTATACAGAAGATACACTAAAATAAAAATTATAAGCAAGAGTGTTTCTGCAATTTCTTTTACTTAGAGTTCATATCTCATCTTTTCAGGAGCAGTATGTTTTCCTGCATGAAGCACTTAATTGTGGATTTCAGAGGGACTACCTTCTGTCTAAAGAGGAATTTTCCACAAAAACAGAAGCATTGCTGAATGACAACGCACCGTTAAATCAAACAGCTCTTTACAAAGAGTTTAAGGTATAATATTATTGCTGCTAGGAAATATGATTATCAAAATTTTAGTCTCAACCTTATGATGTTCTTTTCCGTTTAGTTCCAACAGACATTAAAACCACTCTATGATCATGCAATTGTCGAAGAAGCCAGGAAAACCGAAAACACCACCAAGAACTACAGCAAAGACATATTACCTGGTATGATATTTTTTGAAAGATAAGTAATTGAGAACAATGTTTATTATGGATGGAATAATTCATCAACTTCGGTTTCGATTTAATGTGTTACTTGTCCATCAAAGGATCACATTTTATTCTGTTTTAGTAACAAAATATCGCCCTTACCTTACCTCGTATGTGAAAGGAAGGAATGACTATATCAATGCAGTTATGGTACCGGTATGTTTATAAGAACTGTGCGACAGTATCTGTTTTGAAAATACTGCAAATGTGTTATATTTAACGATTACGACATTTTGTAGAAATTGATGAATGAACAAGATATCGAAGTTTCGATTTAGCGCATTTCTACACGTGCTAGATATAAATATATACATAAAGACATTCAGCGATGTTCTTTATTTAGCGGATGCTGCTTTTCGCTATAAAATGAATACATAGCCAAATGCGTTTACGGGAAGTGTTTCAATCAGATTTTTACAGATAATCGTGCAGAATTCTTCTTTTTTAATTTCAGTCGTACATAAACCCATCTGGATTAATCATAACCCAAAAGCCTCTTCCAGACACTGAGGTTGATTTGTGGAGACTGTGTTTTGACCACGGAGTGAACGCATTGGTGATTCTTAATGAAGATGATCAGGTATAATATTGAACTTGTCTTAATACCTTTTTATCATGTCCATAAAAAAAGGATGGAAGGTAAAAGATTTATGACAACTGTCTCTCTTTTATTTTTTGTTAAAATGGTTGTAACAAAATCAGTTTCTGGTATTTTTGTCAATAAACGGAGAGGGTTTTAGTCGATAGGATATATCATTTGTCCTTGGTTTTAAATTTCTATCAAAACCATAATTCTGTAGCCATATAAGATATAATTTAATTCTTTTTGGACTTTTCCTGTGTAAATAAAAAGGAGGATAATTAATGCAGATATGAGATGAATCTGCACAATGTCAATTTGTCCCTTAAAAAGATTTTTAAATCATTTTTATCCAAAAGTTCAATAATAAGTGTCTGTCGTAGACTTTCACTGATTTTGCAGTATTAACGATATGGATCATTTATGATTCACTCATCCTGACCATGGTAATGGTCCGCAATGGGGTTAAGAGGCTCTTGCTATTGGTTAAATCTATAAACTTTGAATTCTTTTATCTGAGTAATTATTAAAGAAATATATAGAATAAGCCATGTACTTTTGACTCCATTTTATGCACTTTACTTGGAACAACAATATTAAGTTAATGTTCACAAAGTGTTTGTTGTACATTTAAAGCAGCAATGGTACCTTACACTAGGCTTAGCATTGGCCTAATATTATTGCATGTCTCTAATTAACATTCAATACTTTTTGACCTTTGTGGTTATATGTAGCAGAATATTGAACATTTTACAGTGGAACATCTACGTAATTTTTTTTTTCATTGAAAACATTACTCTCTCCCTCTCTTTTAAAATCTACTCCAGGATTTCCATTTGGTTCAAGCTTGCTTAGTAGATTTCAACCTTTTATATACACTATTTCAAAAAACAGACAAACAAACAAAAACAAAAACAAAAAAAAAAAACCAAAAAAAAACCGAAAAAAAAAAAAAAACGAATAACGAAGTTTGCTTTGATACGCTTGATACCATTAATATTATTGTTTTGATATGATGCTTTTAGGCAAATGATTGGCTTCAAAAGAGAGGATTATCTAAGGCTTGCGTTCCTTACACCGTTACTGTTGGCGACACTGGGAGCAATATCAGTGGTGTATCACAGGACCATCTAGCAATTTCAAGCGACGTAAGATTATGTATAAGCTTACTTTTTGCTGGGATTGCACAGGCATCAAATAAGTAAATTCTCGAAACTGCAGTTTTATTAAAAACATGATTAAAATGAACATTAGCAAAGGGTTTTTTCCCTCTATTCACGGTATTTCACTATATAACATGACATTCTTTCATTTAAAAACAAAAGAAGGAGAAAAAACAAATAGAGCTTTTCCAAGTTCATGCTGATGATAATGATGCTGTACTTAAAGCCGCAGAACTCGTACTAGAAAAGGCGAAACAATCGTCCTTTACTTCCCTTGTCATAAGCAAGTAAGAATCACAATTGGAATAAAATGCATTAACTTCAAGTTAAATAATAGAAAGCAGAGCATCTTCTAGCGTGATAAGGTATCCTAGAATATTTCATATTTATTCATTTATTTTATAAATATTGCAAAACAAGACTGAAAAGAACGAAATACATGTATAATGAAAATAATTTATACCTTGTGCTAGTGTATGTAAGGGAGGAAAATAGATACACGTTTTCAAAACAATATTTTTTTTTTCAAATGGAACGGTAAAACGAAGTTGCTACGGAATAAGTACATTGTACATAACATACTCTAGGAACGGAGCAGGACCAGCTGGAGTTTTTTGTGTTTTACATAACGCCCTACAACAGATCAGTATGGATGGAGAGGTGGACATATTTACCATAGTCCGGCAATTAAAGATCAGAAGACCGGAAGTTATCACAAAGCTGGTACACGTGTACTTAGAAGAAAATTACATGTATTTTCTTATCTTGCAAAGGATAACATTAAATATATAGCTTTTAAACAAAAATATTTAAAAAAAGGTTTGCAGCAAGACATACATATGTACTTTAAGATATATTTTGTAGGAGGAGTATAGACGGTGCTATCAGCTGGTGTCTCAGTCTGTTTCAACAGAGGGGATATATGCCAATATGTAAAGATCGAGGGCATTGTTTTATATCGTTTTACATGTTTATACAATCGCCGTATTGCATTTCTACATGTGATAGTAGATACTTCATGTATTGTCTAATGTAATCATTTATTTCAAATTGAAATTTGAAAATGGAAAATGAGAATGTCTAAAAATGATGTTAATTTTAATATAAAATAGATAAGGGACAGTAATTTAAGAGGAATATCTGCATGATAAAGTGATACTGAATCTAGGCATATTTATACGTTTACTAAAAGCACTTAAAACAAAAGATAAAAATTAAGCTAAATTACACATACCGATGGTGATTGAAAGAAATCATAACATCAGTGCAGAGAACAAGTTTTAACGGTGGGGATAATTTTGAAATAAAATGAAAAAAATCTCAACGAATAGAAAAAGCAGTCCAAGCTTTAGCATAGATATCAAATTTTAAGTCAATAGAAACTATCTAAAAAACGGATATCTGAAAATTTAATTGCTTTTTGTTCTATAAACGTCGTGATGTTTATTTCATTTTATCATAATGCTTTAAATATCATTAAACCCGTTCAAAAATCAGCCCTTCATGTGATTTGATTACCTTGACATCCGCTTATCAATTTGACTTAGAATCTTATTCCTCAGTAGTAACTTGCCTACTAGTTATTGTGTTTATTCTTATTATTCCTATAAAATTGTCATATTAAAAAAATTCTACTTCTACTATTATGATATCATTTTAATGAATAGACTAGACAAAAATATATGAACAATTCTGTGCATCAATTTTAATTTCAAAGATTAAACTAAGAATATTGAATTCATTAATGTTCTTATAGAATTGTTATGTCACCACCGATTTTGGCGTGGTCTCAATAAAATTTGAACATAAGTAGTCTAAAACTACATTTTTGCTTCATACTGTGCTTTTTGTAAAACAACATTGCCATGTCTTTTTTTGCAAGGATAGTCTATAATTAAAGATATATTAAAATTCTAGAGATATTTATCTTTCAATTCATTGCTTTTCATTTAACTATGAGTTTGCATTAAGTATTCAGTCAAGCTCGGAATCATTCCAAATGAGAGGGTTCAATTTCGAACTCCCTGTTTTAAATAAAAACCGTCTTCCGATCAACCACTCAACGGAAATATTTGAGAGTAGTGGAAGCTAGATAAAATGTGTCTATTTTCACACAAAATTGAAATTATTATTATTATTACCTCTTCGTTTACAAACATGAGTTGAACAACCAACATAGAATCATGTTTTATTCATAAAGTTTTCAAATAAAAACAAACGGAGAAGCATTTTTTCATTCTGAAATGTCGCATTGATGCTTAATGGGAATAAAGAGGAAAATAAAAATCAGAAAGCAATTATTTTTTTCTTAAGAACTAACATAAAATATCTGTTATATCTATAATTTTTTCGTTTTATTTATCAAATACCTTTCTCCTTTTAGGAAGGAATGGGAATGTTTGACATCTATGAAAAATAACATACTTGTGTACTTGTATCTATAGAAAGGTGATTTACAATAAGTTTTTGGTACACATTACTAAGACGAAAAAATATAAATCTGTCTTTAACACCTATTAAGCAAAAAAGTGAAAAATGTTAAATTTATTTTTAACCTTAAGAGTAAGTGAACGTGATAAGTAAGAAAACGTCCGCACAATTTACTTCATAATTTTTTTATGTCAACTTCAGATAGAGGACTACTGAAATTTTTAAAATATAGATACTGATCTTTTCATTTTGGAAAACTGATATTTGTTTTGTACACTCTGTTATTCTGTTCTGGCATAACTGTACATTTTCTTCTCACAAATATAAGAATATTTTTCAGAACAAGGAAGAACCTCCCCCCCCCCTCCCCCCCCCCCCCCCCACTGGGGAAGATGACAGCAGCACCGTGCTCCTGTTGTTGGTAATTATTTGGTTCACCGTTCTTCCAGTTTCAAGAAAAATAAGTTTTAGGTTTTCTCTACTACCATCCAAGATAATTTGGCCATTGATTTCTTGATCCGTCCCTCCTATCCGAATAACACATAATATTCAATGAATTGTACATTGTGCTATAAAATAAGATTGTACATGTAAGTAGAAATGCAAATATATTAGATCCGCTTTCGTGTATGTATTATAACACGAGAGAGAGAGAGAGAGAGAGAGAGAGAAGAACTTTGGTGAGAGAGTTGAACTTTCGATAGTACGAAAATGTACTTGTTTTTTTTTTTCTTTTGTAATATTGATGAATAAGGGAGAACACGGATAAAACATGTATTTTTATTATTCATTATATGCGCGTCAAAGAGTCTTAGACAAAAAGAAGCACTTAACTACGACGTTATATATGGTGTCACAAAATATTGCTTTAATTCTTGAGTAAAAGGTTCACCGCAACTGTATGGACAATTCAATTCTGTTTGTAGAAATATTTATCTAAGACATTTATGGGTCATGAAGAGTTCTGCTGGAGTTCTACTCTCAAGTCACAGAAAAAAAAATTCCATACTTTTGCACGCAACACTTCCAAACGTCTTACATTTTGTACGCAAGATCGAGGCTTCTTTTTTTCATCAATTTATGCTCCCTGTAACCACTTGATTTTAACAGCATTTTTGAAGTACTATAAAATGCAAGTTTTTGAAATGAACACAAATTATGTTTTAAAGTATGAGGCTTAGTGTTGAACTTTGGCATCTTTGTTTTTAAAAAAAGACAGGAAAGTCATATCGGGATTTTGAAACAATATATGTCTTCATTATAAGAAAATTATGATAAATCAGAGTGCCCGATTCTCAATACTTAATTCCTTGAAATGAAATTAAAGACGCCACATAGTCTACCACATCTATTTCATATTTTAATGTTTTATTGATTATATCAGATAAAGGCAAACAAACAAAAAAAATTGTATGACAAGGGAGATAATTTCATTTTTTCCATCGTCAACTTTCCTTATTTATGTAGTAAAATCACACTTTTACCCTCATATGGTGTTCACAACTCCCAACTTATTCAATACTCACGAACATTCTCCTAGCTACTCAGAATATGTTTCTTGATTCTAGGGTTTAAAAACTTTCTGAAGTATTGGGGCCACCGGGAATATCTCAAGACATCTTTGTACATTCTTTGCCAATGTGCTTATAGCTATTATCAGTATTAAGCAGGGGTTCTTCATCAAATGCATCGACTTCTGAATGAATGTAAATCTTTTCAAAATAGCTTGCAAAAGCCTCAGCTGCACACTAGGATCGTTTCAGATAGTTTTTTTCCTTTACTGAATTTCAGCAATTTTCTTATTTTCAACCTTTTCACAAGCCTCATAAAAAAGGGGGGGAGGCAGAATTCCTCTAGATCAAAATGTTCAAATTATCTCTTCCTTTGTATGTATTTCGATTGATAAAATGCTTGGCACAATTTTTACTTCGTAACTTATGAAAAATGTCTTGCGAAAATTGCAATATTTATGGCTATGTTTCTCTGTAGAATTCTGAAATCGATGACTGTATAAATATCATATCAAAAAATGTTTAAAAGACATTCCTTCAGTTATTTTTCACTTTTTTTTTTCTTTTTCTTTTTTTTTTTTTTTTTTTACTTTTGTGAGGGCTCAGTGAGTGAGCGTTCACTCCTTGATCGGAAGATTGTTGGTTCAAGTCCTGACCAAGACAGACCTAAGTCGATAATCATAGAAACAAAATAGTTTGATTTCCTTTTAATTGGATTTTTATTTCGATTTACTCAAGATGTGTAATCACTTGACTTTTCACTTTATTTTTAAAATTCCTGCTACAAATTGAAATTATCAAAATTATCAATAATTAGCAGGGGAGTACTGAAGTAGTTTCCTTGAATTTTGATGTTATTTGGGCCTTCTTACAGTCATCTTGAACCCTTTCAGTAAAACTGATACGTAAAAGTTTATAATCAATGATGGCTCTTTCTCATCTGTGGATTCGTACTGGAACTTTAAAAAAATGGGTCAGGGCATTGAGTCTCGTGCTGATAGACTGATTAAATTCTCCTTGTTGATTTTATAGGTGGCCATGTACGGAAAACAATAAGCTGTATTTCTTGACAAATTTGATATATCATTCCCTGGGGATCGCTGCAGAAGTATTTCTCCATAAATAAGGCATTGACTTTTGGATGGGTCACTGTAGGCGATGATTTTTATCTTTGTATCAATGATGCCTTTGGTAAACTTGTTGATTTACGTTTCTTCTGTATATTCTTTTAAATTTGTATATATTTCTTCCTATTTCATTTATATCTATGTTAGTTGTAAGGGGGTAGAAACTCAAACATTTTTTTAACTTAAAATTTGCTTGAAGAATTTGATGGATCCGGTTTTAGCTGGAGTGAGATAATATCATTTTTTAAGCTACGTGTTCTTGTATAATTAATGAATTTTACGTTCTATGAGGTTGTGTTGTCAGAGGAAAATGTGTTTTCAGGGGTGTTATACATGTTAATTTAACTCTATCGAATGCATGCGTTTTTCACATAGGTACTGTCCTTTGAATTCGTTCTTTTAATATTAGGAACATAAGTCTGGACCTATTTGAAGATGATTTTGTCATAAGTGGAAACTAGGAATGCTTTGTTGTCTTTGGATTGGTCTTAGTTTATTTTTTCTCAGAAAAAGTTAAGGATATCCTTCCTTCTGCTCAATATTATACGTTCTTCCACACATTCTTTATCACCGAATATATTCAAGAAATTCTGGCTTGTGCATGGCCGCACTTGACGGACTGTGTGTTTCGACCTATCAATCTAAGGGCAGTTAGCATTTTCATATGATCCAGATATTACCTGTTTTATGACCAAGATATAATTTATGTTCCTTATCTTTAAGCTTCATTTTTTTTAATCTACATCATGCCTTGGAGACTTGTACTTTGCGTAGGATATTATCTTGTGTTTTTTTTCTTTACACGAGGTACTAATTACTGTAAACTCTGTAGATGTTTGGAATAGATTTTCTGCCTCGCAATTGAATCCTCAGCCTCAAAAAATATTCCAAGAATATTGTCTTTGGTACGATTTTTTACGAGAAAGGCGTAGGTAGCCATATCTTTTCTAATGCT